AATCTTGCACCTGTTGCCCTCGAGAGCTGACTCAGCATGCTTCGCTCCCATGCAAACAACGCAAAGGCTGTGTGTATCCCTGCCCGTGATGTAGCCTAAACTGATGTTTGCTTTTATCATCGCCCCTCTTATGTTTGACTGACTTGTCTTTTGACTTTTGACTTAAAGATAGTGACAGACAACGGTAAATAAGGGTGCTTTCACACTAGCACTTTTGGTGCGCACCCGGGTTCGATTGACGTCAGAGTTCGGTTCGTTTGGATGATGTGAACGCTGTCTTCTGAACTCGGGTGCGCACCCGCGAACCGTACCCGAGTCCGCTTAAAAAGGGTGGTCTGGGGTAAGGTTCAAGTGAACACCGGTACGGTTCGCTGCTGATGTGAACGCAATCGTACCAAATCACGGAAGTGAACCGCTATTAATGACGTATTATTTGATAAAAATGTGTGTTTGTGTGTGTTTCACTCACTTTCTTGACGAGCGTGACTGAAATAATGTCATATTTGCATTAAAAATGACATAACTGAGCGAATGACACTTAATGACAGATGTGTCTTGGTAGTAAAAAGTTACTTTCAAAGATAGATTTGAAGACTACAGTAAGATTTAACTTCGACTGTTAATAAGATTTTGGTAGGCTACTATTAGATGGATAGCCTAATGCCCTAATTTAGATGGGCTACCTGTTTTTATTTTTATTTAATGGTATATCAAAAAGTGTATATTTTTTAAATGTGATTGTTGGTACATTTTACCAGTTTTTACCATACTTTCAAAACAAAAATTAAAATAGGAAAAATATGCAATATGAAAATAATTGAAGACAAAATGTGTTTTACTGAGAAAAAACAGGATTTGGTTTTTAAAAAGCCTTTTTCCAAAAGGTACATCTGGAAAAAGGGTCGTCTTATATTCGGGCCAATACGGTAATAATTAGATATTACAATTATGGGATTGGAACAACATAAAGTAAGTACGTGATAGAGTTGTTGTTGCTGTTGTTGTTTGTTTTTTCTTACGCTGGAGGTTTCGCGAATTCCATAAAAGCAAGCTATAAGTGAACACTGGTAATTTCAGCGCACTACAGAGACATCAATCAATCAATCAATCAATAAATTTCAATGCAACAGTGTTTGAAAAATTTACTTTGCAGAAGAATTATCTCATGTTGAATGAAACTTACCCTGTAATCGTGAATAATATATTCAGATTCAGAAATCCAGCTAGCAATAAGTATTCTATTACTTAACTACAACACCAAATTGGATTGATGCAAAAAAAAAAAAAATGTATTTTTATATGTATCAATATACAGTATAATAATATAATATAGTACAGTATAAGCATACATGGTCCATGAATATATTCTTGTTCTTATGAGAATATGCAGTATTTAAATAATCGGGTTCATCACAGTAATAGCACAGCCTGTGTGGGTGGGTGGGTGTGGTTCAAGTATACCCTACATTATGGGGACAAAATGTCCCACAAAGACGACAATATCCAAAATCCTAAATTAAGAGAAACTTTTGTGTGAGGGGTAAGTTTAGGGCTTGGGGTAGGGTTAAGTTAAGGGGAGAGAACTATACCATTTGTATAGTATAAAAACAATTATTTCTATGGAATGTCCCCATCAAACATGGAAACCCACAGTACAGTATTCAGTACCTCAAGGTTCAGTACTAGGGCCATTGCTTTTCACCCTGTACAGGTGCATCTCAAAAAATTGAGACTGAAAATTGAGATTGCATCTTTTTAAGCAGAATTGATACTTAAAATCTGTCTGCTACCACCGCTACTTTATTACAAGAGTACCCTACTAATCCAGGGACAATAATTTAAAATAATCATTTAAAAAATGTAAAGATAATATAATAATTGTGTAGTCTTTAATACTATAGACACAGCAAGTTTTACTTACTGAAAGATTTATTCGTCATAAAATTATTACTTCATAATTGTATTAGAGTCTTACACATGCTATACAGATAATGTAGAGTTGTGCATTAATTCGATGACCGCTATTATGGGAGTAGCTTGGTGGAATGAATTGCTAATTACTACATTGAAATTAAAAATGTTAAGCCTGTACAGATATTAGAAATCGTGAATATAAATAATTGTGAATCACGTAAAAAATTTAAATACAATAAAAACCGTGCACATTTCATTTATCTATTATAACATTTATGTAGTTTTGTTCGCTTGGCTGTTTCCTTATAAAAGTCCAAAAAATTTGTCAAGTTTTTCGTCAGGTGTCATTTTTTTTAATCATATGATGTCATTACGTTGCTGTCTTGCCGCCAGCCAATCGCTGCACTGCTGATCGTGGTTTCGGGTATCGATACATAGCCCCTTTTAAACCAACCCATGAACGTGCAGTTATCTCTGATAACTCAATCCAGCCATACTAATCCTCAACAACAGGTGCGTTCGAAGAACCGAATTAGCCAGATCCTGATTAGCGTGATATCATCTTGGATGTGACATTTAATCTCGGATGTAATAAGCGACGTATGAAGAACGGGCCCCAGGATTGTTGTCCCCCTCCCCCCTTTATATTTTTACTTAAAGGAGTCATGAACTGCCTTTATTTACTTTGTACTGTTCTCTGAGGTCCACTAGTAATGGTATCAAGATGTTCACATCAAAAACAATTTAAAAGTAATAGGCTATTTTCTGTCCTGTTTTGACCTCCCTCATCAGAACGCTCCATTTGATTATACGTGGTGGATTGTAGACTCGGAAGTAAACGCCCACTGCTGTGATCGGCTAACAGTTGTGTATGTTTGACAGCCGACAGCCTTTATAGATGGACGCTGCTGTATTTTAGGTTAAAAAATGCATAAATGCATATCAAATGATCTTTAATGGACAAAGAAATAATGATCATGTAATAGTTATCAGTATATCAACATTGGCTACCAGAAATCACTTACTCTGCCTTTAAATGTTTATGCTAACCTTATCTCTATGTGTGGCCTCCCCTTTGTAGTGTAGCCTCACCAGGTGGTTGTAACAAGAGCTGCAGTCAAAAACTGTCTTTAATTCTGGGCATATTATTATTAAATGTTATTAAATTAAATCCATTCATAATATAAAGCAATCAAGTCAATTCAGAAAATTTGAACTAAATAGCTCAATGGTATGGATTAGTTTTACAAGCTCTTTATGAATTTTTTGAAGCATCAAAGTGGTAGTTAAACTGTCAGTGAAGGAAAAGAAATCTCTCAGATTTGATTAAAATATCTTCATTTGTGTTCTGAAGATGAATGAAAGTCTTACAGGTTTGGAACCACATGAGGATAAGTAAATGATGACCACGTTTTTTAAGAATGAAAAATAATCTGATTTTGGAGTTTGACAAAGAACATTGCAACCATGCTTGGGACGCCCCACATAAACGAACCAAATAAATGCTTTACATTTCTTGAAATAATCATTTTTTAACATTAAACATCGATTGTCAGTTTTTATTCTGTTTCTTGTGGTTTCTCATTAAAACGCATCAGGTTTGGAACCACATGAGGATAAGTAAATGATGACAGCTTTTTCATTTTTGGGTGAACTATTCCTTTAAGGCATCAGTGAATTTGTATACGAGTACAGATCAGTTTGATGCTGCTATCTAGAGACCAAATGGATTTATGAACAGAATGAACTAAATTATGGTAATTTATGAGCAGTGTGAATCATTAAGCAAGATAATGCAGGATTCTGTTTACCCGGGGTTTAGAATGACCCACGCTTAACTGTTTCAAGAATGAGAAGCTCTATAATTTGGTATCAGAGTAAAAAGGTTGAATGAATGAATGAACGAACGAACAAGCAGATAAAGCAAGCTAGCTTTTAGATTCATTCGTAGAACCATGGTACACTCACAGTATCTCCTGAGTTTCACATAATTTACAAAGAAATCTTGTCATCTCCAAAAGGCTAACTGATCATAAATTATTAGCTTAATTGTTATGTATCCTTTTGAACTGAATACTATGTATCCTTTGTATCCTTTTCTATTGTGTATTATTTCTATTGAAGCATTAAAAAAAAAACTATCTAAACTGATAAATAGCAGATTGGAGATTAAAATAATAGCAGATTTGTCTCATTTTAAATTAATACTAAAACTGAGATGAAAAAATCTACTTGCCAGAAATGTACTTTTACTATGGCAAAATAAATTTACAGTGATATCTTCAAAAGATTTTTTAATTTTGCTTACTTTTTTCTCTATATCGTTTTTTTATATATGGCAAATACCGTAAATGTTGTTATGCTAGCATGTGTGGAAATATTAAAACCACGTGTGTTACAACTTACCCCGCGTTACTTTGTGCCCCGCGCTCCATACATTAATTTATTTTCATGTGTTTGTTGAACTAACAGTATTTTAAAAAATGATCTTCAAACTAAATGAGTTTTGGAGTTCAGAGGACTTTTATTTTGTAGGGATGATCGCAGTAATTGATGCTCTGCTGCCCTCTGGCGTTTGGATCCAAACTTTAAGCCTTTAAAGTAAAAGGCTGACATGAAAAATCACAGAAACAGTCAATGCTGCTTCACCTGGAGAGATGCAAGAAAATAAGTAAGCAGTCCTTTAATTTTCGGCTATTTTTCCTCTGTGTAAGTAGTCTTAAAGTGATCAGATGAAGTGTTTATGATCAAAGTTTGACTCTGACAATAAAGTTAACATGCTAGAAACAGAAATTATTAGAGAAATAATTAAAGAATTATATTTAGCTGCTGTTTGTATTAACTCAAGGTAAATGTATGCTAGCATGTGTGGAAATATTAAAACCCCCTGTGTTACAACTGTTAGTTTGTGCCCCGCGCTCCCCTATAGAACTGTACTTGATGGTTTAATACTTTATATCGAATCCCAGTTCGCATACTCGGCCTACGTACTACGTTGATGCAACGCACGTACTCTGAAGTGTGCAGTATGCGAAAGTTTAGTAGGATGGGCTTTTATCGTGAAGATGATTGAGGAGGCTCTGATTGGTCTTTTATGCCGTCTAGTACACGGGCTGTAACACTGCCTTACTTCCCACTGGATTCCTGCACACCGCTCTTACGGCGCACTGGCTGGTCATGGCGTTGCGGACTGTCCAAAACTTACCCTGTTTTTTAAGTGTACTCGGGGTGTTTCTCCTCAGCAGTGGCCCATACCGAGTCTTCTCATGTCCGAGCCGCTGTTTATGTTTCCGTACCACTGTCAGATGTATGCATTTAAACCTGGAATCAGTGCCCGCTGTTCTTCCTCAGACAACAATCCTGTGAGTACACTAGTCTTCTTTTTTTTTTTTCTCTGAGAGAAACGGAAACTGTCGTTGATGTCTTATGTGTGCTTACCTAGTTTTTTTCAATCTAATGTTACAAATATACTACTACTCCACCTCGGAGTACGTTGTCAGTATAATTGTTGATGTTTTTTGCATTGTGTCAGAGTTGCGCATACCGGTTGCATACTAAGTACAGATGAGTTTGAGTGGCAGCGTCTCGCTCTCTGTTGTGATTTACGTTCCTCATCTGGACGAGTCTTTGTTTCGTGGACACAGCGGTTGTGGCTCACAACTTTAACATTAATACTACCTAGGCAGCTTTTTGGGCGTCATAAGTGCGATTCGAGTCAGCTTGATCGCCCAGATTCAAATGCTGCAAGCACACTTTGATGGCCAAAAATGCTGCACGTACTTATGATGCCCTTAATTACTGGAGCATATGACATGGGGCCTGTTCCAATTCACACACTTGCGGACTTGGCCACTTGAGCCAGAAAAAGTAAGTGTGCAAGACTGTCCCAGGTGTGAAAAATGCCAAAGCTTAGTGCAGTTAACGCACACTAAATACTAAACGGAATTTGATGCTGAGTGTATCCTATAAATCCCATAAGGTACTTTCGACTTTTTTATCTCACAATTCAGACTTGTTTCTTGCTATTCTGACTTATTTTTTTTTATTTTTTATTTTTTTTCAGAATTTCCAGTAATAAAGTAGGAATTGTAAGATGAAAAAGTTGCAATTATAGATTTATGACTTTTTGTCTCACAATTCTAAGTTTATATCATGCAATTCTGTTTTTGTTTCTGCCACAGAATAAAAAAAAACATGTAATAAAAAGGTACAAATTACCCTTTTCTCGCAATTGTATTTTTATCTCACAATTCTGATTTTTCTTTTCAGAATTGCGAATTTGTATCTCACAAATCTGAGTTTATGTCTTGCAATTCTGAGTTTATACATTTAGAATTGCTTCCATAGTGCAGACATGAATATCTGTGTTTTATCTGTATAATGTATTTATAACTCAATAGAAGCATAGTAATTACTACATTGTGTTGTCATAGGGACTACTTAATAGACATTTAGAAGTTAAATTTAAGTACTTTTTAAAATTTGTAAATAAAGCTCTATAATTTTTTTTTTTTTTGAGGTCTTTGTTTGTGGTCTTCAGGCCCACTTGAACACTTAGTTCCAGATACTGGAAAAATGTCATGTAAGTAGACAAGTGGACAAATGCAAAGACTGCAAGTGTGGGTATTGGGACAGGCCATTACAGAAATGCTGTGTGCTCCCATTATGTGCTAAAATGCTGTCTAGATAGGCAGCACACTAGGTTTTGAGTCATAACCAGGGCAGTCCAGACGAGTGGATCGTACTGTGTTCAGCTCACAGACTGCAGCACTGACATGGTTAACAAAACGTAGTGCTGACAGTGTTTGCAAAGAAAGGTTAAAACCTTTGCATGTGTGTTTTTCATTATGTGTGGAGACTGAGTTGTTGGTTAAAATGAGTCATGATCGCGCTGTGTGTGTGTGTGTTTTGATTTTGTTTTGCGCCCATTCATAACAAACAATTTTGATTTGTGTTATTGTTGAGAGTTATGCATGTTTTAATAGCAAGGATGTAACCAAATGCATGTTGGTGGATTAGGGCTATTCCCACATAAGGGTGAGAAATAATGCACTTTGTAGGGCCCTCTGATTACAGCAATGTGCAGCACTTTGTCAAAAATGAAAAGGAATAAAAAAAAAAGTTCATTTGGTTACATATTTACAAGATTAATTCATTTGTTAATGTTTTATGCCCTCGTTTGATTATGAGATTAAATGACAACACAGAAATTCTGAAAAAAATAAAACGTTTTTTATGTCTCTTGTAAAAATATTAATAAATTGTTAAATTACTAGGTTAAAATACTAATTTGATGTAGCCTATTATATGCTTTTTGATTATTAAAACAGAATCTGGAAAAAAAATTAAAACAAAAAATTAAAACATAATTTGGGAATAATAAAACAAACTTTATTTTTGTTGAATTTCTAATAAATTGATGTTAAATTGCATACGTTTCATGATTTAGATATGCTTTTTGATTACTAAAATTTGATCCAATTATTAAAGTGGAGTCTTAAAAGAAAAATAAATGAATGGGTGGGGGTTTAATTGGTATTCGGAAAAAAAATAATACCATTTTCATTGGGCTGTAACTTTGCTCACTCTGTATCTCCTCTCGTGGTTTAAAGTGTTGCCTTTGAGGCTTTGATGTAATTGCAACAGTAACAGCATTGTGTTACACAGTCTCTCCTGACTGATGAATGAATGAATGAATGGCTTTTTTTCAGCTGCTTCTTTAATGAAGTCTTTTATGTGGGTCACTGTGTTAAACAGGAACAGTATTAACTCATGACCAGATGCATAATGATGCTGAATATCACACCTTTTGGAAATTCAGAGCTGGTGTTTTAGAGATAGTAAGACAGAAAGAGTGGATCCCAAATCGCTCTGAATTTGCAATGCATTCCTCGGCTGGTTTTAATAGTCCGGAGTGACAGTTGTATGCATTTGTTTCCAGACCCACAATGCATCTGTGCAACTGCAAACAGACAGAGGCTTGCATTCAGGTTTGTGGCTGATTGCAAAGGAGTGACTTAAACTCAACGGGGGTGCAGAGTGCTCTCCATTAGCGTAACTCCACATCTGTCTGCAAGACGCCCATCCAGAAACTGAACATAATAAGCCTCTTGACTTCATCACTGCGCTGGCCGCCGCTGAAATCCTGAACCGAGGCCAGTGCATTATTATGCTTTTGAGGTCTGTCATTGTGTCTGAGCAATAGGAAAGTGTGTTGTGAAGATTACTCTTCATTTGGGAGAAACAGTGCCCTGAGAAAGCTGTGTTTGTTTTAGTTTTTTCCATTTTATTTTTTCAGCATTCCATTTTAATGGATAAATTAAATTGTAATAATAAGAAAGCACCTCTAATTAATTGAAATCAAGAATCTTATACTATATTTTCTTGAATCGACTTTGATGATTTGATTACATTTTAATAATCAAAAAGCACATCTAGTCAATTAAAATAATTAAAATCATGAATTTTGAAGTTTAACAGCAATATATTAAAAGTACATCTCATATGAAATCCATTAAAATTTTTTCTGTAGAATTGATTATTTTTTTTACCATAAGCGTCATGTGTCCTTCAGTATGTGTAGTAAACTAGAGTGAAATGTGCAGACTAGATCTTTAAATAGTCTTTTAGTGCTTTAATATTCACAGACACTAGTTCATATCATGATTTGATTAAGTATACAGCCCTACTGTTCACTGTAAAAAAAAAAAGCCGTAAAATTTACGGGTAAAAAATACGGTAGCAACCTTTTAGGTTTTACGGTTTTAACTTAAATTTACAGTTAAATACCGTAATTTCATTAACTGATATAATGTTAATATACCAACCTATTGAAGTACTGAAATCTGTTTTGTACCTTTGTAATACACTGATAACTAGTGTTGCTTTCGTCAACGAAAATTATGACTAAATATCGTCGTCAACGAACCTTTATCACGTGACGAAAACGAGACGAGACGAGACGAAAATGCTGGTCATGTGACGATGACTATAATTAAATGTATAATGCAATATCGTTGACGAATAAAAACGAGACTAAATGTGGTTTACAAAATAAAAACTATGCTAAAATGTCTCTTCATTTTCGTTGACCAAAACGAGACGAAACGAAATGTTATAACGTTATTTCGTCTCGTTTAGTCGCGTTATTATTATTATTTTGCAGTATTTCTGTTTCCTGTGTCTCGCTTCAGGGGCTGCATCAGGTCACACTGCGCAGACGCAGGCAACGTCACTTCCTCAAGCCCTACTCGCGGCATTATTTAGACCAGTGTTTCCCAACCGGGACATAGTTATTTATTCTGGGAATGTCAATTTACGGTTATTCACTGTAAATTATACCTTCTTTTTCACTTCCAAAAACTGTATACTACCTTAAAATTAATGGCCAATACATGTAATGTCCAATACAGTTTTTCACCGTATATAGTAGTGGAATTTACCGTTAACCATTTAACAGGTTTTTACTGTAGCATTTTTACAGTCTTTTACCGTTAAATTCACGGTCATTTTTTACAGTGTTAATTTATTCTTCTGAAATTTGCCAAATTTTGTGCCATTCTGTGTTATATAGTAAATTCTCTTTCGAGGGATTGATTCTCTGTGTTTTATGCTTGTTGTATAGACAAAAATCTATAGAAATTGTTTAAAGGGATAGCTCACCCAAAACTATCCCTTTAAAATGCATTTCGCTCAACAGTCAGTGGGATTTTTACCTCTGCACTTGTAGGTGTACCGCTGTTCTGCTCCCAAAATGTCTGTGCTGGAGTTGAACTTTTGTAACCAACCACAGACGTGCATGAAGGCCTTAATGAGCCTATAGTCCAATCACTAACTACTACAGATCCTAATGAGCAGTCTGATTGACTGAGAAGTATCTTAGAATGAGGCTCAGTGTGACTGTTTAGTCTCTGTCTTGCTTTCCTGCGGTTGATTTACAAAACCGCAAAAAAGTAATTCAGTAATTTCACAGCTTGATAGTTAAAACGGTCGCTGGCACATCTGCATTGCTGTTGCTGTCAATCTTTGGCTTTCCAGTAAAGAGCCTCTCCCCCTTACCATATATTATGTAATACAGACAAAGTGGGCGGAAATATTGGCATTAAGATATGGTCCAAATGAATGTGATCATTTGGGCTGTTTCTGACCGTATTAGAATAAAATGGCAGACTTTAGCCTATTATAGTGTCTGTTGCCAGTAATTTGTTGCTTAGAAGGCATGCTGTTGTTTCACATGAGTTCACTATGACAGAATGTTCAGTATTCATTTTTCCAGCTTAACAACATCCTGCTCCAGTCTGGCACGACTCAACACTGTATCTAAAGAACATCAGTGACTCTTTCCGCCACTGGATCATGTATA